TTCATTTGTGATTTTCCGACGTGGTTTCCACTTGTCAGTGGTGCAGGACCGGGGTGGGGGGCTGGCAAGGACAGCTGTCTAGTCGTTCGGATGGGACGAAAAACCGAGGTCCCGTTTATACATTGCAAAATTTCCCTCATAGCACACTGTATGGCGTATGTCCGTCTTCATTAGCCCAGTTCGGAGCAGTTGGACGTTAAACCCCATTTTATTTCATTTCTCTACTTGTGTTCCATTACTTGAGTACATATTTGTAGACCAACAACAATTGGGGTTCTTTTTGATAACTTTTTAATAAATATATATATATATATTATAATATAAACAATATCTCAAGGATACAGATATCACGTTATTACTAACAACTTGAACAATTTTTATCAGTTTAAACAATGGTTTAATGGTGGAGAGCGAGACACCAATATACTATAGCTACGCAGAAATGTCTTGCTCGAGACCATTGAACCATTGAACGACTTAAAGGACAATATTTGTGTCAGTAATTATCACATATGTGATAGAATTGGTTAAACACGTTCCAAATGTGTTTCTAACACAGGGATCATTGCTACGATAGATGCGTAATGAAGATTTCAAAAGACGGAAGTGACGAAAGTAAAATTAAAACACGAGTTATGCTCCTATATAGTTGACTCAAGAAACGAGTGATAACAGATACACAGACGAATTTATGCTCACTAATAATTCCTTCGAGGACCCAAATTTGTTATATCGTAGCAATGATTTCTGTGTTAAAATTATATTTGGAACGCGTTGAATCAGAATGTGATAATGACTGACACTATTATTGTCCTTTAAAACATAGATACTATCCCGCACGTGCATTTCAATGAAATTATCACACGAGTCCACTATTTCATCTAGTATAAAAAATAATGTACAGTAGAACCTGTACGAGCAACCACTCCTTTTCAGCCACATTTCCTTGTAAGCGGTCACAATAAATTCAATAAATAATAAAACTCAATGGAAACTAACTCTAATCACTATGTTTAACATACATGTATTGCGCTTCGTCACGTTGCGGTCATAAACGGTTAATTCCGGTGACAAACGATCTGTCCACAGAGGAAGCGAACGGCGATTAGACTCCGTAGGTTGCTAATCGTCATCACTATATATGCTAACAAGTTAAATTGAGACTATAACAACCCCATGGTTTCCAGCGAAATTCTGGTCATGTCCACATAAAGCGATTAGATTCCTTATTTTACCAGCACTTTTTTAGACAATTATTTCAATTATTCAAATGCAACCACATAGTTATGAAAATAATTCAAAGTTGTAACGGATATAGATGAATATGGAATAAACAGTGTTCAGTCGAAAGGAAAATAAATCACCGTTCTCCAGACAGAAGGTTTGATTCACATCCAGAAGGGAATCAATATATATATTATTTTATATAAAAGATTCACCCAACATTGAACATTTTCACCGTATCTCCGACATAATTATTGGTGCATATAATTCGTCTAGATATATGTGCCATTTCACTCCCTTATAAAACAGACGAGATTCTGAATTGCCCTAGTAAACGAAGCAGAAGGGGGCCGTCTAGCTTATACATAGGGTACTAAAAGCAAACCAATACATTTACACAAAATTAATGAAACGAAAAGATCGATTTCTGGATGTTCATGGACATATTTATTATTCATTTCTTACGTAATCAAATGAATAGATTTAGAAGATGCCATAGTAATTACACGCATATCGATATAATTGTTCCGGAAGTATGTCTCTGCCCAATTAAGCCGAAAAGAGTTGGCGTTGCGTATGAATGAACTATTAGAGAGAGGACTACTGAAGTGATATAAGATTTTAACCAGACTTCATAGAAATTCCATTTTTATTACAATACCACATTTTTTGCCCAGATGCACTTTCATGACAATTTATATGTTCTCTTCAGCTAGAAATATTACAATTTGGTTATGATGAAGAATTAATTGTATCTATATTTTGTGTATATACAATATCATTGTTTCTGACTAGCTCACCGGATGAGCGAGAAAGTACTTTATAATGCCAACATGTTATTAAACCAGCTTCTGTCGTTATACCTTTATTCCTCGATCGTTTCCTGTGGAACAAGGTAGTGCAGATTCCTCATTGGACTATGGTTGTAAAATTCATAGCTGAATAAAAGATAAGAGGAACTTGTCGAAATGTCCCCAGAAATAAACTTCTAAAGTAACTTGTAATACATATAATTCTGTCCTATTACCTTAATAGGGTAGTGAATACCCTGTTTTTCCAGTGTGTGTGTGATTTAACACCATATTGAAACGATTTATTTGTCAATAATATATAAAAATATATATTATATAGTGCAACTATTTACCAGATTTCAAAACAGATTAATAGCCGTTCGATAGAGTAAAAAGTTAGTATTTCATTTTGAGCAAAATTATAATCATAAACTCGAGACGCAATGTAAACAAAACACTTTTACCAACAGGTAATTGTAATTTTCGTTTGCGAGATGTACTTTAATCTATAGGATCACAACGATTACTTCACGATTCAAACCAGGATTTCAATCGTAGCACGAATCGTGAGTGGGAACCTAGCATACCACGTGACGAGGATGTTTTCCCGATTGCCTAAGCCCAAAAATTGAATTCGATTTTATGGTGCAGATATGGGCTGTGAATTTGACTTTTAAAAAGCTAGGGTCAGTGCAACGCATGTAGCTCTATGAAAGAGGCAACGTTGGCACATGAACACCGAGATCACGCAAGAGTGCATGAGTACCAGAGCCGTCCGTTATCCAAAGGTTTGATGCCATTACAGTACCGGTTCCAAAATGGCAGTTCGTTTCTAGCAGATGCACGTGTGTAGAGGTAGAATCAATGGCCATTAGTGTTGGAATATTGTGTTGAGACACATCAAGATCAGCACATGTTCCTGTATGATAATGCCGAGCGTATTCAACATGTATCACCATGGGCTTCTTAAACTAAAACATGTCTGGCTCCTCTCGCAAGTTTCCCTGGAAACAGTTGTCTGCATTATCACCCTAAGTGGAGGCCGACGTTATGTCCCATAATATACAGACTGCAGTGCCCGCGTGGCCCAGTCTTTATACTGATCTTTCACCAGTCGAGCACGTGTGGTGTAGTCATGGACGTCGTTCTCCCACCATTGCCATCTGCAAAATTTCCGTCATCTCGAAACAGAATTGTAACGGAGGAGACCGCAAGCCCGAGTGGTTATTAGAGGTGGACTTTACCCCGTGTGCCTACAGTTCACTGTCACGGCGTCATGGCATTCATAGGTTGTTGCTGATTCACTGTTGTTAAAAATCACACCCCGCTTGCAGTATGTCTCGCCAGCGTTTTCATTGCGTCTCAGTATACATGTATGTGTGTGAATTAGGTTTGAGGGTTGAAGACGTATTTAAATGTTCACTCAAACTTTATGAATCCTTGCGTGTAGGTTACAACTCTCTCCAACCCTAATAAAAATGTTTTTGAAGTATGGGAGAAAGGACTTCGCGACATTGCCAAGTACATCATACATATATATCATTGGGAAAAGGGACCCAACACGTCATAAACATCGTATATATATATATATATATATATCATTGAAAAAATGACCCAATATCGTATATTGGATACTTGTATATTGTTATAATACACTGTTCTGCACCGGGGGAAAAGATTTTGAGACCAGGTCGAATATACTTCATATATATACTATTCAAAAAAAGTAGGGGATATTTGAATTTGGGGGCATAATACTAAAATATGCAAATGACTACGAAAAAAGTCACTATAGAACCTAACAGAAGAAACATTTCCAGTTACATGTGACGCCCAAACGCACCAATAGCTACCGCATGGGATGCAGGTGATGCTTGGGATCATCATGGGGGTCCAACCCAAGATTTTCACGACTCTGACTTTGAAGGTTACAGTCATTGTGGCATTGAATTCCAGGGTGGAAACATCAGTTTAATTGTTTTTGTGACCAGAAAACAAATTTTGATATGCGTCGGCTTACCCAAAATGAAAGGTTACGTGCCCTTGGCATGCTACAGATCGGCACAACACAGGCGGTTGTGGCGCGGACGATGAATGTTTCTCAGTCTGTCATAAGCAGGCTATGGTCCAGATACCGTGATACACAATCTGTACAGTACAGACCACGCTCAGGTCGACCAAGGGCGACAACTCAAGCCCAGGATCGATTTATCCGTACCTTGGCCTTGAGAAATCATGTCATCACAGCAAATCAGATCAGCGCTCGTCTTCAAACAGACACTGGTGTGAGAGTGAGTGGCCAGACGATTCGGAATCGACTGCATAGGGGGTCACCTTCGCGCCCGACGTCCTCGCGTGATCCCTTGTTTGAGAGATCATCACATTCAGGCAAGACGTCGTTGGTGTAGGGATCGTCAACACTGGGATAATCGACGCTGGAGCAATGTGATGTTTTCAGATGAGTCAAGGTTCACTGTTGATTTTTTGGACAGACGTAGGAGGGTGTGGCGTCGTCGAAACGAGCGCTTCCAAGACGTTAACCTCATCAGACATGATCGATTTGGGGGTGGTTCTGTTATGGTGTGGGGAGGCATCACTGTTGCTGGAAGAACGGCTTTACATGTTGTTGCAGGGCGTGTTACAGGCCAGTACTACCGGGACAACATCTTGGCAGTCCATGTTGTGCCGTTCGCACGACGTCATGGCCGCCGTTTCATCTTCCAGGATGACAACGCAAGATGTCACAGGGCCAGGATCGTTACAGGTTACCTCCAACAACAGAACATCACCACATTACCTTGGCCAGCACTGAGTCCCGACCTCTCCCCCATCGAGCATGTCTGGGACATGCTTGGACAGAGGGTACGTCAACGTCAACAACGTTCTGCCAATGTCCAAGAACTTGCTGCTGCGTTGCAACAGGAATGGGACAATCTGGACCAAAATGACCTTAGACGTCTCATAAGGAGTATGCCACGTCGGATCAATGCTTGTTTGGCAAACAGAGGAGGATTTACCCGTTACTGACTTGGTTGTGATGCTGTGGTAACTTTGCTGTTTGACCCCGGGTATCATTTTACCCTTATAATGGTCAGTCTGTGCCTTACTTAGTCTAACGATCATTTGGAATAAATCGATGAATGTGAACTTCATTTCATTTTGTCATTTGTTTCTTCGTCAGTTTCATTAGGTGACTTTAATAACACTTAAAAATCAAATATCCCCTACTTTTTTTGAATAGTATATGTTTCATTGCAAACAGGACCCAATACGCCATATGTATCATTGGAAGGAGGACCCAATAAATCACGGATATCGTATATTGGATACTGTTCTGCATTGGTTATAACTTGTTATACTATGTCACCTTTCTGTTATATACAAACGTTTTTAGCACTATAAATAGGAGACATTCATCACAACACGTTAGTTCACAACGTCCACAGAAATCTATTTTCAGACATAAATGAATGTTTTACTATCATAAAAGGCGATCACTTATGAAGGTATTAATGAGTTAGTTTTGATAGAAGTTATACACACGATTTACATGTACCATGGCTGATTTGTCACGTATCGCTGTGTATGCTTGCTGAAAGTCGTAAACGATCTAGCGGCATAAGTCTTGGAGGAGGGGGATACGCACAATGACTCAGCCGATACGGTGTATAGCCATCGTGAAAACGACGTCTTTTGTCCTCCAACAAACAACAATAAACCGTCTTTTTCTTTGCCACGTCTTCTGGTTTCACGTTTAAATTATCATCCGACGGTTGTTGTTGTAAACTACGCCTTCGCGTGCAACGTTGAAAGGAGAGTTTTAGTCCAGTTCGAAATTTTGGACTCATCCAGATATAAATGATTGGATTATAACAACTGTTGCTCATTGCAAGCCAATGAAATAGCATCCATAATACAGGCATCATAGGAAGATTATAGATAGAAGGGTGTTGATCACCGATTAATGTTACTGTGTGTATTGGAAGCCAGCATAAAGCGTAGAAAACTACTACCGTAATCATCATACGTATCATCTGAAAATAGAAAAAAAAATTAAATTTGAATCATATATGCAAATATTTTAAGAAAATGAAATGGGGTTTAATGTAATACTGTTCTAATGAAGATGGGCATACACCATAAAGTGTGCCGTGAGGGTAATTTTGCTCGGACAGCGGTGCTATGTCTACTCTTACATAGATTTTCAATGTGTACATGGAATTTCGGTTTTTTGTCCCATCCGAACGACTGGACAACTGTCCTTGTCAGACTCTACGTCCTGCACCACTGACAAGGAGAAATCACGCCGGAAAATCCCGATGAACTTTATCGGCCAACACCGAGATCGAACCCGCTACTTCCAGTCTAGCGAACCAGCGCGTCTTGCATATTTTAAGAAAAGTTTGACATTGTGGAAATAGCAAACATGGTCTCAATATTTTATTTTGTGAAGTACTGGGGTAGCGGCTAGGGAGCAGTTACCATGCACATGCATTATCAGCCCCACACTCTAGCTGGGTGGCCATGTATCCTTTATTAAGACACACTGTCCATATATTCCAGCCTACCAGTAATTGACACCGACAGGTCAGTGCCATGTTCCATGTAATAACCTTAAAGGAAATCTATTTAGTATAGGGTGAAACGAGCCCTGTCTTTATCATCTCATTATTTAAGGTTTACATCTACCAAGGAAATTTTACTTTATTAGTAAATAGTTGAATATTTTAAGACTGGTGGTTTCTGTATATTTGTTATCTACCTTGCCGTAAATATTCATGGCGTCCCTTTATCCAGTATTTACTTTTGTCGATATTAGTTACCGTGTCCGTTTGTTTATTTTTATGTTTTCACCTTAGCAAAATTTAGCATTTAAATGAGTTGATCGGCTGCATTATGATCAAAAGTTAAAATATAATTTAGTGTCAAGATCATGAAAACATGGGTCAAATTGAATTGTCTGACGTGAACCGTCCATTTGTCGGGCAATGAGACCATATGTCATAGAAATGAGACCATATATCATATAAATGAGGCCATATACCATATATACGTAAATTGACATTTCTCGCGGATTATGTATAAGACTTTTAGTTTGTAGCATTATATTAATTAATATCTTTGGCTAAGTTGTATCTAATGCACTCAAGATTAAATGACAGATTGGTATGTAAAAAGGAGTTATAATTTGGTGTAAGACTTTTGTAGAATTTTTGCTCTTTTAGTTAGTAGCATTATATCAATTAATATCTTTGGTTAAGTCGTATCTAATGCACTCAAGAATGAGTGACAGATTGGTATGTAAAAAAAGAGTTATAATTTGGTAAACATTAGCTGGTTCCTTGGGAATGAGAATATCATAGTTAACACTTGATCGGAAAATTACTATTACAACATATGGCTTAATTAACCAATCTCTATAATTATTTACATCATATTTGACCAACTAGATAATTGAAGGTCCAAAACACAAAGCTACAAAACTATCATATTTGTGAGCATTGGTCAGAAAACAGCTTGATTCTAGAAGGAAAAAGATGTAGCAATTTATATCAGCAGACTCGCCCCAGCGAGTCTGGCATGATGGGGTTTCAGAGAACGACTTTAGTATTGTTATCTACTATGCTTGTATCTATGTATCCAGCTATGATATATAAAATGTAAAGATGAACTCTTGCATTGTTATTCCTGAGAAGACAAACGTCTTAATTAACTGAGAAAACAGTAAGAAGTACATACACAACGTGGAGGGGAAGCAAAGACGACAAGTGAAAATACTAGACGATTACAAGACCTCTAAGATATGTAGTAAAAAAGGAGGTATGTGGCAACCGGTTTGCGTAGTCCGCTCTCTACGTCGGACGGAAAGACACATGGTACCACACACGGTTTGAAAACTATAATACTTAAGACCTCGTGCAATAACATTTGTGGAAAACTCGTTTTTAGTTAATGATTGATTCATTTTGAAAATTCAGGTGACAAAGAAAATTTTCGAGCAAATAGCCTCAGCCACCCCCAACTGAGATTGGCCGCCTATGCCCATGGAAGTACATTCCTTTGTAGCGTAGTAGTAGACGACAACTTTTATGATCGTGACCAAGGAAATATTCAGTTTAATATTACGATAACCGTGCCTTGAATAACCTCAGCCAATCGCCCCGGGGCATTTGATTTCATCTGTATTGCCATTAATAGCCACTTCACTATTCTGCCTTTCCAAAGTACAATGTAGTTCAATAATAATGTGGTCTGAAACCTTTAAATCGCTATGCTAAATTGATATGTTTCCCTTTATAATAAAATGCCGGATTCCTAGATGTTTGGATGATCTTCAAGATAGGTACTTGTTTTTACTGGACTCTTGATAACAACATAAATCCAAGACAATCCTATATGCAGAAATACAAACCCAACGTAACAATATGACCACCTAACGGTCACTTCATTTGTATCACCTAAGCGTCATTAAACTTAATTACCTAAACTCCATTTCATGTAATTGCCATTTCATTTTATCACATAAACGTCATTTCATTTCATTTGTATCACCCAAACATCATTTCAATTGTATCACCTAAACGTCACTTTCATTTGTTTCATCTAAACTCCATTTCATTTCATTTCATTTGTATCAACGAAAATTATTTCACTATGTACAAAATGTTGTATTACATTAACATAGAAAAATACCAAATTTTCAGGTAATTAAATTCATTTCGCTGAAGTCTACCGGATGCGCCAAACCGTTATTACCAATATTATAATTACGTAAACCGCAAAATGGTAATCCAATATCGGTTTAATGATAAATTTCTTCTAGCGTTGTAAGTTACATAAATGATTCTTAAGTGCAGAAGATCCGGCATATTATTGCTGACATTAAATCCGTGTTGATAAAGAAAACAGGCATTTTGCAATCTTGTAGTTATGGAAATAGTGCCAAATTGTTGTAGTAATGTATGTAATGTAGCGTGATAAGAGGTATAAAGCTACAGCATGATAGTTATAATGGGCAAAAATATATTCCATTATTTAAATTAAAATAGAACTAGCGATGACAAATAACATTTGGATATTAAATATACATTATATGAGATTTAGATAAAGAATTGGTCGTTCTTGCTTTAGATGATGAAAAAAAAATATATTGAAAATTTCAGTCAAATTTCTTTATTCTGAGCGAAATCATGAGTGTTTGAAGTACTGTGGTTTAATCCATTCAATATATCAACCATCAGATGGTATAGCAAGTTTTGAAATGACCATGAAATTAAATGGGATTTAGCGTCCTACTGTTCTGCTCCGACTGGGCTAATGAAGATGGACATACACCATACTGTGTTCTATGAACAAAATTTGCCTGAACAGCGGCGTTACTGCATACTCTTATGTCGAATTCCAACTGCTAAGGGATTTTTACGTGCACGCCATCCCATCCGCACGACTATACGCTGCGCCTTAACATACCATCTGTCCCACACAACTAACAACGGGGAAAGATTTGATTATGAGCGTGTCATAATGTCTAAATAATAATTTATATACCCCCCCCCCCCAAGAAAAAAGCAAAAAAAAAAAAAAGCAATAGGCTGATTTAGTTCTTGCATCAATAGAATCTTATGTTCATATTTCGGACAAAACTAATTTTTCAATGCTTAATTGACGCTACAATGTATTCAATTTGGTATTCAAAGCCAAAATATTAACGGCGGATAATCACCCAGTGTTACAAAATGGCAAAATGGTCCGCTAAACGATATAACCACATGTTTTTTTATAGCGTCTGCAGAGAATGGCGAATGGTTTAATTCATCATATCTTTGTAAATATGAAAGGATAGATTCAACTTTTACAGTTAACTGGGTCGATGCGTGTGTTTGATAAGAATGCTTTGATGTAGTTTATGCCTGTCTTTATGGTTTTATACCACTTGCGACTTGCGTGATATGGCCTACTCTAGTATAAATCACTAATCATTATGAGAGGCTCGAATAGTTCTATGAAACGCCGTTTGTGTTCTTTACTACTTTTGCTTTGCTTAAAATAAGCTAGATATGAACCATGCATTGTATATGTGCATGTATTGATCAGAGGCTGGTTATAGTTCAATAATCATATAGATCTACCCTGGGAGGGTGGGGGGGGGGTATCATCAGGTCTGTCATTGAGTCAAGTGGCCCGATTTCAATTCGTCGCTTGTACGTGACAATGCATATGGTCGTTTGTCCATCCTCGGGTTTTTTTTGTCCGGGTCCACGCGATTAATCCCACAGCTAACGACCCCTACGCACAAGCGTATTGTTGAAATAAAATTGAACCATCTCATGATAGTATGTTGACCTAATTGTTTCAAGTGTAATCTCTCTCTCTCTCTCTCTCTCTCTCTGTATGACGCAGAAAAAAGTAGGACGCTAAACCCCATTTCATTTTATTTCTCGTCGCATGAAGATTGAGTTAAAGGCTTTATGGTGATTCGAATATTGTATACAGTGATGACGCGGGTGACGTCACTGATAAAAGGGGGCGTATAAAAAGTAATTATTCTAAAACTGATCATTGTCTTTCGACTATGAAAAGGTTAATTATTGTAAGAATTGTGGCCTTTAGAGTAATTTGTATTTAATCGCTAAATAATTTTATTTTCAGAAAAATATACCGAGATAACTGACTTTTTACGAAAATTATGTAATCGATGTCTACCCCGAGCCGTCGGGTGCAAATCCATAGGCTCTAAACACCACGCAGGTTCTCTTCATCCATTCTCTCTTCTTGTGGACAGGATCCACGGTGGCTCAGTACGAAACACTTTAGCTCTCTAACCTGGAGGTCCCGTGTTCGATCCTGGCGTTGACCGAGAAAGTTCATCGGAATTTTCTGGCGTGGTTCCCGATTGTCAGTGGTGCAGAATAGGAGGTCAGGCAAGGGAGAACGTATAGTTTGTCGGGTCAGACGGAAAACCAAAGTCCAGTGTACACATTGGCGTGTACGTAAAAGAACCCTTGACAGTTGGAATTCGATATAAAAGTAGACC